CCGGCACCACAGGCAGAGGATTAGCCTATTGAGCCAGGGTGCTGGCCTATGGCTTTTACTCTTTAAAAAAACACACAAGACCCCTTAAACATGGAATTATCTTGCAAACCATCACATCCCCAAAGAGCTGAAATATGATAGTCTTACAAAGAATCTATGTGCTTTCTACATGTAAATTACATTCCTCTTCAGAAGTTGTAACTTTTCCAGATAATCTTTCCAGGAAATCTGTCTTTTTTTCCTTAAGTGAAATAGACTCAAATTGACAGTAAAATTCAAAAGTCACTCTTGGTGTAGTTTATCGCCTGCCAAGAGGTGAGACCTGGGACCTGGGAAAGGTGAGTGGGCCGTGGGGGCTCTTCCCTTACGAGTGCATCAGTGCTGATTTTGCCACAGGGGGTTGTTACATGTTCACCTCCTGTTGCTCACCCCCTTTCTCTTTGTGCCCACAAAGCACAGGTGCCCTCCCCAGGTGCAGCCCCTCAGTCCTGGGTGACCCAGCCTCCAGACCTGTGAGCTCAGTAAATGGCCCAGTCTGTGGTATTCTGTTACAGCCGCAGCAAGTGAACTAAGACAAATATGAACAAATTGCACAGTGAAGAAGCCTGCTGGGGTGCTGTAACACAACAGGCACTTATGTCCCCCAGTTCTGGAGGCTGGTATATCCAGGATCAAAGGTCAGACTATGTGGTTCCTGGCACGGGCTCTGTCTAGCTTAGAGATGGCCACCTTTTTCTGTGGCCATATTCAGATGGTTACTGAACATAAATTCTGACCATTTACAGATTACTAAAAAGATGACAACTTTAAATTTTTTTCCATTTTATTTTAAAGGCAGAGAGAGACACAGAGAGACCTTCTACCTGTTGGTTCACTCACCAAATGCCTGCAACAGCCAGGACTGGGCCAGGCCAAAACCAGGAGCACAGAACTCCACCCAGGTCTTCCACACGGATGGCGGGGACCCGGTATTAGAGCCATCACCTATTATTTCTCAGGATATGCATTAGCAGGAAGTTGTATTGGAAGCACAGGAGTTGGACTTGAACCCAGGCATTCTGATATCAGATGGGGGTGTTCCAAGTGACAATTTAAGCACCATACCAAACGCCCAACCCTGGAAGACAACTTTCTGAAAATGTTTGTTTACTATATATTCATTTGGTTTCTCGCTTGCATAGGTCAATGCATTAATACTTGCATATTATGACCATATAGTTCAGACAGCTAAATGATTGTCGATATTGTTTAACAAATGTTTTTACAGACTATTTATGAAAACAAAATTCTTATCTTAGCAGTTAATTAATGATTAGCACTTAATTTCTGTTTAATCAATATTCTATCTGATACTACAGTTTCCTAATGTTTAGCAGTCCTTTTCCTTAAAAAAGACGTTTTCTTCTTTTTTTAAAAATATTTTATGTATTTATTTGAAAGTCAGAGTTACACAGAGAGAGAAGGAGAGGCAGAGAGAGAGAGAGAGAGAGAGAGAGAGAGAGAGGTCTTCCACCTACTGGTTCACTCCCCAATTGGCTGCAGTGGCCGGAGCTGTGCCGATCCGAAGCCAGGAGCCAGGAGCTTCCTCGAGGTCTCAGGCGGCTTTACCCACTGCACCACAGTGCCAGCCCAGGCTTTCTCTCCTTCGTTGCAGCCAGTCTGAAAGGGATCAGTGAGTCCGTGTTTCATATGGTATTTTCTCCTCTGTGGTTGGCATTACAGGAAGTTCAGTTACGACGTCTCCCAGGTTCAACATCACTTGTGCCAAACATATTTTCTGTTTTTTACTTTCACCATGATTAGATGTGCAGTGATATCTCATTGTGGACTTCATTTGCATTTCATTAATGATGATACCGAACGTCTCTTTATGTGTCATCTCTCTGTCCTCTTGGGTGAAATTTATCTCTGCCTTTGGCCATTTTCTTTCTTTCTTTCTTTCTTTCTTTCTTTCTTTCTTTCTTTCTTTCTTTTTTTTTTTTTTTTTTTGACAGGCAGAATGGACAGTGAGAGAGAGAGAGAGAGAAAGGTCTTCCTTTGCCTTTGGTTCACCCTCCAATGGCTGCTGCGGCCGGTGCACTGCAGCCGGTGCACCGCAGCCGGTGCACCGCATTGATCTGAAGGCAGGAGCCAAGTGCTTCTCCTGATCTCCCATGGGGTGCAGGACCCAAGCACTTGGGCCATCCTCCACTGCCTTCCCTGGCCACAGCAGAGAGCTGGCCTGGAAGAGGGGCAACCGGGAAAGAATCCGGCACCCCGACTGGGACTAGAACACGGTGTGCCGGCGCCGCTAGATGGAGGATTAGCCTAGTGAGCCACGGCGCCAGCCGCCTTTGGCCATTTTCTAATTGGATTGTGTTTTTCTACTGTGGAAGTTTGAGCAATCTTTCTGTCTATTCCAGAAAAATCCTTTGTCAAATGTGTGGCTTGCAAACACTTTTCTCCCAGTGTTTTCATTGTATGAACATGAATGATCTTTCACGGAAGACATTTTTAGTTTTTATAGGGCACAATTCATCAGTTTTTCCTTTAATGGATTATGCTTTCAGTGTTAAGTCCGACAATGTTAGCGATAGTGCACTGGCCATGAGCCTCCCCGCGTGCATCTTGAGAATCTGCATGTTTCTTTCTGGGTCAAATATTCCCCTTACGCTATTATTTTCCTCCTAGAAGGTCAAGAGGCTTATCACACCCCTGTTAAGTCGGCTGGCATTTCTGATGGCCAAGAGGAAACCCATCCTCTCACCATCTTATGCCACACGAACTAATAGCCAAAAAGAGCTAAAAACTGAAATTGCCATTTGGATTATACCAGATTCCCACTAATACCAGGGAACCTGATGAATTGGGAAGCAGATGGTTCAGGCAATGGATCGGAACTCCTGCATCAGACCCATGGTCATCTCACCATGAGGACAAGGAGAAGGAGCTGCCTCTGAGAGCTGCCCCAAGGACCCCCAGGACTCGGAGGTCACAGTGGGCCCTCGGTGAACAGCATCCATTCCCAAAGCACACTTGGCTTCCCTGTCTCTGGACTGCTGGAGCTCTTCCCCGGGTCCCTTCTCCTTGGCCTTCTGTTGCTAAGGGCTAGAGGTCCTTCCTGGTCTCCTAGGATCAGTCTTGGCCGAGACTGCCTCCTGGGCCATGATCTCCCCTTTCCCACACTGCTCTCGCAAGCCCCTGTCCCAGCTTTAATCAGCCCTGCATACAGCCTGGGAAAACAAGGTTGACCTTTAACTGAGCTCAGAGGAAAACACAATGTTCCCATTCAGTCAATGATCAAAAGAAGGTCCCATTCCCTCCTGGGTTCTCATCTCTGCCTTCTCCTTTTCTTTGATCCAACTTCAAGTAGAAATATCATAAGTAAAAGTTAAGTTCAACTAAACAAAAATTTCAAGGCCACTTATGACAAGAAAAACACAGATTTTCAGCACTACAAAATACGTGTGCAGGCGCTGTAAGTTTGTATAATAAGATCTGCCCTCTCTTTTGCCAAATCAGATTTTGAAACCACAATCAGATATTTGAGATCTGTAAAGTTCATCTAATGCAATGACTGTATCTGTCAGTGGCTGTATCTGTCAACCAAAGAGTTTAGTGAGAGATAAGGGGAAAAGCAGAACTTTTGTAAGAATACGGACTCTGGATGTCACCCATTCCTCCCTCGGAAGACGCGCCACCGCGAGCTCCATATGGGATTGGAGTCAGTCACTGAAGCAGTTACGGGTGAGTTACTGTTGCCCTGGGCCAAATCACCTCCACACTTAGTGCTTTAAGCCCCTTGTTTTGCACAGAATTTGCTGGGCCAGGACCTAGGCAAGGCGGGGCAGTCCTCATTCAGACGTCTCCTGCACTTCCAGCCAGAGGTCGGCTGTGTAGCTGTCACTTGGGGCTCTATTGGGCTGTGAGTGTGTAGGACGGGCCGCATGCCTGGTGGCTGACACTGGCCGCCCCCTGGGAGCTCAGCCAGGACTGTCCCCCAGAGCAGCTACATGTGGCCCATGTGATAGGGGAGCTGGACTTTTATGTGGTAGCCAGCTTCCCCACGAAAAGTGATCGGGGGGAGCCTGCCGTGAGTGACCTCCCATGTCCCCCAGCAGCATTGCAGCCTCATTCTCCTGGGTACAAGCAAGTCACTGGGCCCAGCACACATTTGGGGAGGGGGCAGAGATTCCACTTTTGATGGGAGAAATGTCAAAGAACTTGAGAGCAAGGTTGGTTGGTTGGTTGGTTGGTTTTAAGATTTATTTATTTGAAAGGCAAGGTGAACAACAAAAACCAAAAAATAAATAAATAAAAAACTTCAAAAGTTGAAAGAAAAAAAAAGAAAGGCAAGGTGACAAGGAGAGAGGGAGAGACAGAAAAAGAGATCTTCTATCCACTGGTTCACTCCCCAAATAGCCACAAGAGCCAAGACTGGGCCAGGATGAAGCTAGAGAAGCCTGGAACTCTGTCCAGGTCTCCCGGTGGGTGCAGGGGCCCAGCACTGGGGCCATCTGCTGCTGCTTTCCCAGGAGCACTAGCAGGGAGCTGGACTGGCAGCAGAGCAGTCAGGACTCAAACCAGTGCTCTGATGGGACACCGGCATCACATGTGCTGGCTTAACCCACTGTGCCATGACGCCAGCCCCAAAAATAAGTTTTTAAATCAACTTTGGGGGCCAGCGCTGTGGCGCAGCGGGTTAATGCCCTGGCCTAAAACTCTGGCATCCCATATGGGCACTGGTTCTAGTCCCAGCTGCTCCTCTTCCGATCCAGCTCTCTGTTATGGCCTGGGATAGCAGCAGAGGATGGCCTAAGTCCTTGGGCCCCTGCACCCACGTGGGAGACCAGGAGAAGCTCCTGGCTCCTGGTGCAGATCGGCGCAGCTCTGGCCATTATGGCCATTTGGGGAGTGAACCAACGGAAGGAAGACCTTTCTCTCTGTCTCTTCCTCTCACTATCTGTAACTCTACCTCTCAAATAAATAAATAAAATCTTTTAAAAAAAATCACCTCTGCTGAAAATTCATGGGGTAATAAGAGATTACATTTACAACCAACAATGGGAGATAAATTTCAGAGAGGTTGAGGTTAGAGATAATGCAACGTGACCCTGAATGAAGAAAGGCGGGAGGCGGCTGGGTGGAAGAAGCTTCTGAGGGAGTTCCACATGGAAGATTTGGCAAAGCCGGAAAGGGAGTGGTGAGCCCCAGTCAGGCGCCACAGGAAGCTGCTACGGTTCAGATGGGATTTGGCTTCCCAAAGCAATGCAGATGTTTGCTGGCTGAAACACCAACATTTGCTGGCTGAAACACCAGCTTTGGCTGCTCGCAACTCCAGGGGCCGAGAGGACCAAGGTCAAGGCGCCCGCAGACCTGGTTTGCAGATGGCCACCTTCTCTCTGTATCCGCGTGGCAGGAACAGAAAGAGGAAGGCTGTTCATCTCATCACAGGAGGTGCCCTTTCACGCCCTGTGTGCCAGCACCATCAGAGTGGGGGCTGGGGTTTCAGCATTTGGAATCTGAGAAGACACAGACCGGCAGTCCACAGCAGCGGCTGCGTCTTCCTCCAGCAGTGGACTGCTCTGTCTTTGCACAACTAAGTCCATGCTTGTTGGTCGACTTTTCAAATCTAAACAGCATGTGGTTTAGAAATGCATCCGTGGGAGGCAAAACTACGAAAGCAAGGAAGTGAGCGAGTCTCCTGAGGGAAGAGGGGGAGAAGCTGACAGCGTGGGTCAAAGCACTGGAAGCAGCCAGCTTCGAAGGCAATGCACAGTTGCTCACTTGATGGGCCAATAAAGCGTCTGTTTATGTTTTTGTGAATGTGTGATGCTCCATTTAAATCCGACGGACTTCAGACTCATCTGACAGGCTTATCTCTCGTACCTTGGATGTCAAGAAACTCAGGGAAAGAAAGCCGAACTTGGCAAAGACAGTCAGAATCTGGACTTTGCTCTTTGCCCGCCAGATGAGCTTTGGTACTGCAAACAATCCAAGGCGGAAAGAGTGGCTGCCTAACTAGATAGAGGCGAATGAGTACTCCGCGTCCTTCCATGCAAAACTGATTTCACACTTTTTACTTGCTGATTTATATGTTTCCTACCAAATTATCTCCTGTGGTCCCTTTCCCGTGCTCAGTCCCATGACCTGGATATCCTGATTGTCCCCTTGTCACACACTCCATCTCAACGTTGAAGCAAATCCTCTCACTTGTGCATCTGAGATAGCTTTCCCGTGTGGACATTGTGTGTGCTGGCCTGCAGCACAAAGAACTGGGTTTCCTGAAACAGAGTGGGAATGCAGGGACAAGGATGCAAAGAATGGAGCCAAGACGAGTCCTGATCAAGGCTCGTTTATTCAACAAATCCAGTAGTATTTAAACATGACCAGTTGTTTACAAGAAGGAGCACAAAAGATTTACATATCAAAAAGGCGTTTAATGTTACAAAGAGTTCCCAATAAGGTTCTTAATTATTGACTACAAGGGTACAATAAAACACTTAGGTGATAAATGCAGGTTTCAGGTGTGACTGATTATCTACATCATCTCTTGTGAGAGGTTTAGCAGTGAGATAAGGTTCTTCCTGCCTCTTCCCGGAATCTCCTTAGTCTAATTGTCTGTCTCCATCCATATGTTTAAGTGTAAACAAAGGGGGCCACTGCCTGTGGCTGCCCACAATTGTGGGTTAAGCTGTTGCTTTTGATGCCTGAATCCTGTGTCGGAGTGTCTGGGTTCAAGTCCCTGCTCCACTTCTGTTTCAGCTTCCTACCAGTGAACACCCCGAGAGGCAGCAGGTGATGGCTCCGTGCTTGGGTCCCTGCCACCCACATGGGAGACTTGGGCTGAGTTCTTGGCTCCTGGTTTTGGCCTGGCACAGCCCCAACTGTTGCAGGCATTTGGAAATGTGATCTTGCACTCTCTCTCTCCCTCTCTCTCTCTCTTTCCCTCTGTTGATCTGCATTGTGAATAAATAAAAATAATAAGTGAAAGAGCTCTTGGAGCCACCCCTCGTTCTAAGGCTCTGCCCCGGGGCTGGGCAGGCCCTCCTGAGAATCTGGAACTGTTACATAACTTCCAAGAGACTCCCAACTCCAGTCTTTCCCTGCTCCACTCTGTCTTCAGTGTGGCCGCCAGAATTCAGCTTTGGAAGTGCAGCTGTCTTAAACTGTGATAAAAATATATATAGCACAGAATTTATCATTTTAATAATGTTGTATACATAGTAAATCATAGATTTGTAAATCATAGATTGTTCTTTAAAATACCTTTTATGGTATATATTTAAGGTATGCAACGTGTTGCTTTGAGATACAAATACATGTAGTAAAATGGTTACATTAATAAAACAAATTCACATATCCATCATCTCATAGAGTTAGCCATTTTCTCCCATGTGGCAAGAACAGCTATAAGCGACCTACTCACCTAGCAAAACTCCTGAACAGGCAATGATTATTATTAACTGTAGTCTCCATGTTGCACATTACGTCTCTGTTCATCCTACATTTTAATAACATTTTTAGTGAACAAGGGCATTTCCAAAAGTTTATGAAAAAATTAAAAACCAAGTTTATTTTGGTACAAAAAATGCTGAAACCCACACATAGTTTTTTCATAATACACATTTTCTGTAAACTCTGGAACTCCACCCCCAGTTGTGGGTGGATACATCCATGAGGAAAGGAGGAACAGGGACACTGACCAAGACATCTGAGCAGCCCTTTGGTCAGGCCCCTCTGGGTGCTCCGCCAGGCGAGGCCTCTGGCCTCCCTCTGTGCGCACTGAACACAGTTTGCACTGGACTCTAAGTCGGTGCAGTGCCAATCTCCCAGTGTGACCTAGGGCCACTCTCCTCATCCTCCTGCCACACTAGCCCGATGGGGTCAGGTTATGCGGAGACCTCCTGCCCTTGAGGTTTCCCATGTAACCTCCCATCCACTCACCCCACTCTGCTCTTGGCTATACCCCACTTGTCCTTGCTGGAAGCAGAGCGGAAATCGATCTCTCCCCACCATGGCAAGACCCCTCGCCATGCCCTCTGCCCGTTGCCAAGGCTCCTTTTGCCTTACCTTTTTTTTTTTTTTTTAAGATTTATTTAGGTTTTTATTTGAAAGGCAGAGTTAGAGAAAGGCAGAGGCAGAGAGAGAAAGAGAGAGGTCTTCCATCCGCTGGTTCACTCCCTAGATGGGCGCAAGGGTCAGAGTCGCACCGACCCAAAGCCAGGAGCCAGGATCTTCTTCTGAGTCTCCCATGTGGGTGCAGGGGCCCAAGGACTTGGGCCATCTTCTACTGCTTTCCAGGCCAGAGCAGAGAGCTGGGTCAGAGGTGGAGCAGCCAAAACTTGAACAGGCACCCATATGGGATTCCGGCACTGTAGACAGTGGCTTTACCCACTACACCACAGCAGCTGGCCCCTAACATTGCGACTTGTAATAAAATGCTCATGATTTATCATCCTGGTTTCTGCCTGAATGGGGAGGATTTAGTTTTCATTCTTAACATTTTCATCGCATGCTTATAGAGTTTGAAAGCTAGGAGCCGGCACCGCGGCTCACTAGGCTAATCCTCCACCTTGTGGCGCCTGCACACCGGGTTCTAGTCCCGGTCGGGGCGCCGGATTCTGTCTTGGTTGCCCCTCTTCCAGGCCAGCTCTCTGCTGTGGCCTGGGAGTACAGTGGAGGATGGCCCAAGTGCTTGGGCCCTGCACCCCACGGGAGACCAGGATAAGTACCTGGCTCCTGCCATCGGATCAGCGCGGTGCGCCGGCTGCAGTGCGCCGGCCGCGGCGGCCACTGGAGGGTGAACCAACGGCAAAAGGAAGACCTTTCTCTCTGTCTCTCTCTCTCACTGTCCACTCTGCCTGTCAAAAAAAAAAAAAAGAAAAAGAAAAAGAAAAAGAAAACTAGAAGGGTCCTTAAAGAGTCTTGCCAGGATGAGACAATGGACACCCAAAGAGATTATGTTTCTTATTTCACACCACCAACTTGGTGGCTGAGCCAAAAAGGAGACTCACTCTAACATTGGGTGGGCGTGTCCTTCTCACCATAGGACACCATCTGCCTCCCCACCACACCCACACCTCCGCATGGACGGTGCCTTGGGTGGTACCATCCGCCTCCCCACCACACCCACACCTCTGTGTGGACGGTGCCTTCCACAGGGGGTGTACACAGCCCAGCAGCCTTGTCCCTGCTCTTTGCAGGGGTTTTAGGTCAAGGCGGGCAACAGGAAACACGATGACTGTGATGTGGATCAAAGTAAGTCACATACAGAGTACAAACCCTGCACCCAGAGCAGGCTCCAGAGCTTATTGTACCAGTTTGTGTCATGTATGTAGGTGAGGGCTCGAGGCCTCTCGGATGCTTTCTGTTACCAGGACTGGAGGAATCCTGCCTTCAGATGAGGAAATGAAACACAGAGGGGTGAGGACACCTGTCCCCACCACACGGCTACTGAGAGGCAGGACCTGGGCCCTGGACTATCTCCACAACGTGTCTCAGCCTCTCGTGATTTCCAATCCCCCTACTGAATTCCTCTAGAAAACTTCTTAAAATATTTATTTACTTACCTGAAAAGCAGAGTTACAGACAGGAGAGAGAGAGAGAGATCTTCCATTTGCTGGTTCCCTTGCGACATAGCTACAACAGCCAGGGCTGGGCCAGGCCAAAGCCAGGAGCCAGGAACTACATCTGGGTCTCCCACATGGGTGCAGGGGCCCAAAGACATGGGCACTTTCCGCACCTTTCCCAGGGGCATTAGCAGGGAGAATTGGAAGTGGAACAGCCAGGACTTGAACTTGTGCCCTTATGGGATTCTGGCATCAAAGAAGGCTGCTTAACTCACTGTGCCACGACACTGGCCCCTGGAAATGTTCTTGATCATGGCCTCATTTGTGCATGGCCTATGTATGATTAAATGACAATAAGTTAAAGTATTTCATTTACTACTACATTTTCTAACTTTTTAAAATTATTATTAGAAAGGCAAAGAGAGAACCTTTCACCTGCTGCTTTACCCCTCAAATGGCCGCAAGAGCCAGAGCTGGGCTAGTTTGAAGCCAGGAGGCAGGAACTCCATTCAAATCTGTCAGGAACGCGGTAGCAACCCAAGTCCTTGCATCAGACGTAAGCTGTTGCCTCTCAGGTGCATTAGCAGGAAGCTGGGTTGGTGGCTGAGGCAGGACTCTACCCTCGGCACTCTGCTATGAGATGTGGGTGTCCTGCGTGGCTGCTCACCCCAGTACCACAATGCCTGCCCACACTACTGTAATCCTTAGTTTTGTGTCAATATGGCTAAGCTCTGGTACTCAGTTATTCAACCAAACACTAATCTAGGTTTTGCTGAAGATGTAATTAAAATGTAAAATCAGTTGGCTTTAAGTCAAGGAATTTGCCCTCAAGAATCTCACGCAGTTAAAGGCCTTAAGAATCAAACTTCAGGGCAAGTGTTTGGCACAGCCACTAAGGACTGGGTGGGGACAACTGATCCCATATCAGAGTGCCTGGTTGAAGTCCCAGCTCCACTTCCATTCTGCTTCCTGCTTCCTGCTAATGCAGGTGATGGCTCAAGCATGTGGGAGATCTGGATTATTCTGGACTCTTGGCCTGGGCCTGGCCTAGCTCCAGCTGTTGTGGCCATCTGGGGAGTTAACCAGCAGCAAAGGGAAGACCTTTGCCTCCACACCTTTCAAAACCAAACACAACACAACGCTTGGGGCCTGAGTTTGTGGCATGGTGGTGAAGATGCCACTGGGGACAGCAGCAGCCCAGAGGCAGTGCCTGGGTTTGAGTCCTAACTCTGCCTCCAATTTCAGCTCCCTGCTAGTGGGTGCAGCCCGGGAGGCAGTGGTCAGTACTTCAGCCTTTGGATCCCTGCCACCCATGTCGGAGATCCAAGTTGAGTTTTGGGCTCTTCCCTTGGATCTGGCCCAGCTCTGCCTGTTGCAACCATCTGAAGAGTGAATCAGAGGATGGATTCTCTAACATAAAAATAAGGAAAAACTTTAAAAATAAACAGAACTGTTTCCCAAAGCTAGAAATTTTGTTTGTAGCCTTGTCGGCTCCTGCCCTGGAGTTCCCCGGCTGGTGCTGTCCTGCCCTGGGGATTTCAGGCAGAGCCCACTATCAGCTAAGCAGGGGGTGTGCACAGCTGGAGAGCTTTCTCTCCTCTGTGAATAGATGTATCTTTCTGTCTGTGTTTGATACAGGGTAACTTAACATTGTATGCAACAGTTTATTTAAATCTACTCTTTAATACCTGTAACATAATAAATACAATTTTAAACTTTTTTGCACTTAATAACTCCTATTGGTTTTATTTACCTTGTAAGTAGGATTCTTCCACAAATTACTTCATATTTGGTTTGGGGCTCAAAGACATGCCAACAGGGGAATAAACGTAACAACAGCCACTGCATCAAAAAGAGACAAAATGCTTTCACACCCTGGCGCTGGAAATTATTACGTTTTACTTTTTAGAAAAATCAATCCCTTTTCTTTTATCATTTTCCAGTTTTACTTGCAAATCATAAGGTGTCAAACTGGTCTCTGCAAGCACTTGTTTATATTTGAAGCTGCCCAACACCTCACTTTAAAACTGGAAGTCTAGGGCCTGCGATGGGGTGGAAGGGGTCAAGCCGCCGCCAGCAGTGCCGGCATCCCTCATGGGGACAGATTCCAATCCCAGCTGCTCCACTTTCCACCCAGCTCCCTAACAGCCCGGGAAAACAGTGGAAGATGGCCCAAGTGCTTGGGCTCCTGGACCCAGGTCATCAGACTCCGAAGCAGCTCTGGGCTCCTGGCTTTGGCCTGACCCAGCCCCAACCGTTGTGGCCATTTGGGGAGTGAACCAACAGGTGGAAGATCTCTCTCCCTTTCTCTTCTCTCTGTAAGGAATAAACCTTAAAAAAAAAAAAAAAAAAAAAAGTCTGGCATCCTGGAAACCTGTCGGCCTAGGGTTGCCACGTGCCTGTTTCTGAATTCGTGGGTGGAGCAGAGGACACTGCAAGGCTGAGGCCAGGGTCCTGGTCACGCGGGGCTCCCGCACCTGCACCTGCTGGACCCGCGACCCCCGCCCAGGGCCACTGAGCCTTCCAAAGGTGACTAGGTGGGCTGAGGACCCGAACTGCATTTTCCTTCATCTTCATTGAGTCCACTTTGAAAACTGAATTTAAAAGCTTAGGATGTGACCCTACTTTTTCACTTGTCAACTTAATGACACCTGGACAGGTAGGGTTCCGACGAACACCCAGCGTCCAAGTAGAGGCTAAAAGACACAGCACATTCTGAAGACATGGGACGTAGGAATGCAATGCGTCTCGTTAATAATTTTATATTGATGGCTGAATACTTTTGAAAATACAACAGAATATTTCTTTAAAAATCGGTTTCTTCGTACCTTTAAAAAAAAAAAAGCGGTTAGTATCAAAATCGAAATTATAATATGCGGCTCGGTGGTTGCTAGCGGACAGGGCGCATCCAGGGGGCCCGGCGAAGGGCGAGACCCCCCAGAAGGTGGCCGATACTGGCACGACAGGCACGCGGAGAGCAGGCGCTGGCGCCCGTGGCTACGCCCCCGGGGTTCTGGCAACGCCGAGGGCTGGCAAATGCCAGTTCTGACCCCGGGGCACGGGAACGGCCTGCGAAGGGAGCTCTCGAAAGCGTCATCGGGGCTCCGTCCGGGCCCAGCAAAACCGCCCGCAGGCCCCGGGCGCGCCCCGCCCGGACCTGCGGCCTCGCCCCGAAACGCCGCAGCTGCAGCCCGCAGGCCAACGGCCTCCATCCCCGCCCCGGGCAGGTCCCGCGGGCGCGGGGCGTCTCCCGAGGCGGCCGGCGGAGCTCTCGCGCAGGCCGCAGGCGGCCCCGCGGCCTCCACGCCCCTTCCGAGTCCCGGAGCCCGGGCTGATGACGAACACAGGGCGCGACGGACGCACACGCCGCCCCGCGCTCGCACGACGGTGCGTGCAGGGAAGCGCGAGGGAGCCCCGGGCCGTCGCCGGCGCCACCAGCGTCCCCACCTCCTCCGCTCCCGGCGCTCCCGCCGGCCCGGCAGCTCGGCCGCCCGCCGCCCGCCTCCGGCCGAGGCCGCCGCCCCGCCGAGGCGCCCGCCTCGCTGCTGTCTCTTTAAATGGTGGGGCCAACGGGCCGCCCCTGCAGCTGCTGCCTGGGTGGCCCCGCGCGCCGCTTTTGAGGGGCGAACCAAGATGGCGGCGGCTTTGGTTCGCTGAGGAAGACGGAAGAGGCGGCGGCAGCGGCGCTGGGCGAGCGGCTTGCAGCGGCCGGAGTCGCTCTGACGCCGGGGGGCCTTCGCGGGCCTGCCGGGCGCTGGTAGCCGCCGCGGCGGGGGCGGGCGCCCGTCGGCTCCGGCCCCTGGGAACAGCGGGAGCAGCGCGAAGCCGCCGGCCGCGGTGGCGGGGCCAGGTACAAGGAAGGAAAACATGGCGGCGGCGGCCTGAGGCGGCGGCGCGGGAAGCGGCTTGGCGGAGATCATGGCGCAGGCGGGAGCAGGGCAGTGTTAACCGGGCCCCGAGTTGCTGCCGCGGCGGGGCGGGAGGCTCCGAAGCGCTGCGCGCCCCCACCCGGGGCGGCCGGGCCTCGCCGGGCCTGGACAATAGCGCCGAGCGGCCGGCGGCGAAGCGAGGCGGCGGCCCTGAGCGCGGGCCCGGCGGCGGGACATGCGGCCGGCGGCGCGGCGGCAGTGAGGCCGGGCAGCCCTCGGCTTGCGGGCGCCCTCCCGCCTCGGCGCCCGCCTTTGCGGGACCCGCTTCCTGGGCGACTGCGGCGGGGCCCCCGGGCCGGCCCCGGGCGCGGGCACGATGACGGACACCCGGCGGCGGGTGAAGGTCTACACGCTCAACGAGGACCGGCAGTGGGACGACCGGGGCACCGGGCACGTGTCGTCCGGCTACGTGGAGCGGCTGAAGGGCATGTCCCTGCTTGTCAGGGCCGAGAGCGACGGTGAGTGGGGCCGCCCCGGGGTCTCGGGGGGCCGCGGGTGCCCCCGCCGCATCCGCCGGCGCTCGGGGGCCGGGCGCTGGCGAGGCCGGGGGCCCGGGATCGGGAGCCCGGAGCGCGCTGCTCTTCGCACCCGAGTGACCTTGAGAAAGGCGCCGGTTACTCCCATCTCCTGCCTTAGTTCACCCATCTGTAAAGGAGGCGTGGAACTTTGCGGGGAGCTTAGCGAGGTCTTGGCCGTGCCCCTCGTGGAAGGACATTTCGCGTGGGTTTTTGCTGGTTTGTGGGTGTTCGTTTTGTCTGGCTTCGGCCGTGTGTTTCAGGTCCCGGTGCGGGTTGGCAGCCCTGCCCTCGGCAGAGAACGGCCGCTTTGCCCTGGCCAGGGGAGCCCCGTGTGCCCAGCGTGGTTCTTGGCCACAGCGAGGCAGCGTGTGTTTGTCGTCTCACTGTGCAAATGTCCTGCAAGTTCGGGATGGCTTTCCTTGCTGGCTTTTGGGTTGCTTCAGTGCGTGTTCACGGTTCGGTTCGGTTAACAGGTGGGGGGAAGTTGGCAGGTCCTGTGAAAACCTTTAGCGTCTGCCGGAAGCAGCCCTCAAGGTCCAAAGACCGCGGTGTTTGAACTAGGGAGGCTTCGCCTTTTAAGACTTAATCTGTGCGGGGGTTGCCTCTTTCCCTCCCGGCGTTCTGTGAAGTTCACTTAAAGATGTTCAGGTTGGGTGAAACTGTTTCCAGGCCGTTTCTAAAGTGAAAGAAGCTCTTTCTCACCTATCTTGTTACATTGGCTGGTAACTTTACAGCCCCTAACTGTGCTGCTTGGTTTTGATTGTAGTCCTTCCCTATCTGAATTACTACAAACCGATTTCAAGGAATTGTCCTCATTTGAATTCTACACCGAACTCCAATTCCATGGAAAACAGACGAGACTAGATATTCTGTAATGGAAGACTCGAGGAAATAGATGTTCAGTTTGTATTGAAAATGGTGATTTGGAGTATGTTTACCAGATTATCAGGCTGTCTCTGGTAACTGGAGACAAATAATTTGGGGGGGGGGCTTCAAAGCTTTAGAAATTGGGTATATTTTTGTGAGATGGAGTTGTTATTTGCCTTAAAATAGAAGCTGAGTGTCTAGAGTTGGTGTGCTTTTGTCCTCCTGTGGGGGCCGTCCCTTCTGTCCTACCCTACCTTTTACATCCTTGCACATTTGGGAAACTTTTTTACACAGTGAATTGGAAAACATCGGCTTAGGTTCATTTAGCTTCTTTTTAGATGAAGAGATATGTAAATTTGAGCTCAATTTGAAATATGCTATTAAAAATAATCCATACAACCTTATTTCAAAAAAAAATCTGTTTATCCCCCCTTACATTTTTACCATTTTGGAAATAGTCCCTCATCTGCCTTCCTCCATTTGGAAGGGAGAGGACTCTGAAGTGAAGCAGGGTGGATGCTGACACAAAATGGCTTTGATCTTATCTAACAAGGAAAGGGGGACTGAACTGAACTCCATTACTAATGTGCCCTTTCAGATTTAAGTTATAAGGAAAACTATCCTAAGAATGGACTTAGATTCCAAGATATTTGTGTGACATTGTTGCAAATACTATTTAGTTTGATGATTAACACTTTTTTCTGACAGAAAAACTCCGAATAGAAATAGTCAGAATGTATTGAATGCTTCTGTGTGCCAGAGACGCTGTAAGCAGCTGATGTGCACTGACTTACGTAGTTCCCACAGTCCTGTGTTGTTAGCTGTGTTTTACAAATCGGGAAGCCGGGGCTTAGACATTCAGGAACAGGACCACAGAGCTAGTTCAGAGACGAGGTTAGTGGTCAAATTGAGTGTGTTCTGGGTTTGAGTGAAAATCTAGCCTGTCCCTTGAAACTAGTGATTTTTAAGTTCCTGTATTGCTGTCTGCTTATTTTTTCTGCTTTATTTTTAGCCTGAAGGTTTAGTTGAAAGAAAATGAAAATAATTTTTAGCCTGAAGATACTTAAAATTACAGTTTATCTCTCTAGGTTTATAGGATAATTAAGAATTTTCTTTTTATTGTGATGAGCAAAATGAAAACTATTTCTGATTCTCCATAAAGTGAGTCATTTATCCAATAGAAACGTAAGATTATTGAGCTTTTCCATTCTTGGGCTGGACCTGGTTGTTTAAGTTTTTCCTTTATTTATTTTTTTAGTCTTTTCAAATCAGAGGGATTGACGATGTAAGTGCTAACTTAGCATTACTTTTTTCCACCAGATTCTTTAGACTCTTCAGATTTCTTTAATGTAAGAAAAATAAGATTCTTAACACTTGCAAAATACTTGTAGCCTGTAAAATTAATTAACTTTTGTGATGTGTTAATTACCCATATTATAAATAGGCTGTTATTTCACAGTTCAGCTAATTTAGTGAGAAATTGCTCATTGCTGGGTAGGTGCATACCTGTGAAAAAGGTGGAGGTAACAATTTTTTTACATTTATATATAGATACTCTCAAGAAAGCTAACTAACTTGTCTAAAGCTTACTTCATTGACAGCGTATGCTCTGGTTCTTCACTCAGGTCTTCCTTTTTTTTCTTTATAAAAATGATTTATTGGGGTCAGCGCTGTGGCATAGCAGATAAAGCCGCTGCATGCAGTGCCAGCTGCTCTACTTCCAATCCCACTCTCTGCTATGGCCTGGGAAAGCGGTAGGAGATGGCCCAAGTCCTTGGGCCCCTGCATCCATGTGGGAGACTGGAAAAAGCTCTAGCCTTCACATAGGCCCAGCTCTGGTCGTTGCAGCCATTTGGGGAATGAACCAGCGGATGAAAGACCTTTCTCTCTTTCTCTGCCTCTGCCTCTCTGTAGCTCTGCCTTTCAAATAAATCTTTAAAAAATGATTTATTTATTTATTTGGAAGGCAGACAGAGTGACAGGGCAAGATAGATCTTGTGTCCGCTGGTTTACTCCCCCAATGGCCGGGACAGCCAGATCTGAGCCAGGCTGAAGCCAGGAGACTGGAACTCCACCTGGATCTTTCTCGTGGGTGGCAGAAGCCCACGTGTTTAGGCTGTCATCTGCTGCCTTCTTAGGTGCATTAGCGGGAAGTTGGATCTGCTGTGGAGCAGCCCAGACTTGAACCTGCGCTCCAGTGTGGATGTACTGTACACATCTGTACTGGTACACAGCTGTACCACAGGGCCCACCTGCTGGGGCTTACTTTGAAGCTTCAAGGCGTTTCTGCTACTGTCCTGCTTACTTAGTAACTGTCTACAGCCTCGACATGAACATAGAGGCTAGATAGTTTTAATTTTTTTAATATTGGGTCTATGAGGATACTTCAAAATGTTCGTGAGAAATGGAATCAAAATATAAGTTGTTTTTTTTTGGGGGGGGGTGCCTATATAAATCATCCTTTGATTCAGTTTCCCACAGACACTTTGAAGTAGCCACATGTTTGTGGAAGGGGCAATAATAATATCTCAATCGTAGGCTCAGTTCTTGTTGAAGGAGTTTTCATACTTATCTAAAACTCAGGAATGAGGTGCTTGTGACCTCATGTTGCAGGGCAGAGGTGGCCAGATGAGCATGCCCTTCCAGCAGGGCCTAGTGTCTCAGCACATCTACAGCTCACCTTGCCTGAGAAGACAGGGATATCCCACAGAGCTACTCAGCAGATTTCCTGGATTGCATCCGTATCCAGTAGGCTCCTGCTGCCAAAATATGTTGTAGGAATACGTGCTTTTCTTTAATGAAGGCAGTTTCTCTGGTTTTATTTAAGCTATTTGCCTGCAAAGTTCCATCCTGTTAATTTGCTACAAGAAGAAGAATAATATCCCTTACTTGCCCTCTCACTTTGTGTTCAAATCATTCTACTTCAATTATTTTTCAAGATTTATTTATTTATTTCAAAGAGTAAAAGAGAAGGATAGAGAGATGTCTTCACCTGCTTGTTCTCTCTCCAAACAACAACAGCTGGGGCTGGGCCAGGCTGAAGCCAGGAGGAACCTGGGACTCCATCCTTGTCTCCCACATTAGTAACAGGGGCCCAAGCCCTTAGAATGCTTTCCCAGGCACATTAGCAGGGAGCTGGATCAGAAAGCAGAGCAGCTGGGACATGAACTGGTGTTCTGATATGGGATGCCAGCGTTGTAGGCAGTCAGGCAGCCGCTTGATCTGGTGTGCCACAATGCCAGCCTCTGCCTCATTTCTAAAGGATGGTTCTTACCACCTCACCTGCCAATTTTAGAATTGACACAGAGAAGTAATGGCAGTTGGAATTTATTATTTTTTTAAAGATTTTATTTATTTATTTGAGAGGTAGAGTTAGAGATAGTGAGGGGGAGATGCAAAGAGAAAGGTCTTCCATTTGTTGGTTCACTCCCTAAATGACCGCAATGGCTGGAGCTGCACCTCTCTGAAGCTAGGAGCAAGGTGCTTCCTCCTGGTCTCCCATGCGGGTGCAGGGGCCCAAGGACTTGGGTCATCTGCTGCTGCTTTCCCAGGCCACAGCAGAGAGCTGGATTGGAAGAGGAGCAGCCAGGACTAGAACTGGCACCCATATGGGATGCCAGTGCCACAGGCAGAGGATTAACCTGCTTCACAGTGCTGGCCCCACCCATGCTCTTATTCTGGATTACTTACCAAGCATCAAGAATAGTGTTCTTATGTTTGGTTTTTATCTTCACTTTTTTATAAAGTATTT